TATGGACAAGATGGTGAGCAAGATCAAGAGTTTGGAGAAGAAGGTTTCTGGTTCTTCAAGCAAGAAGAAGAAGTCCAAGCCCCACTTTCCCTAGGAGTAGATCACTCCTCACCACCCAAGGAGGCTCCCTGCCCAAGAGCCTCACAGAGCCTCTTCTTTCGAGCCAAGGGAAGGAGAAGACAACTCACAGAGAAGGAGGAAGAGTTCCAAGGCCAGACGCTCCAGCTCGACCACCGGACTCGATCGAGTCCAAACAGAGGAAACTCAACTCGATCGAGCTGAGGGTCGAGTTGACCTGGAGGAGCCCCTGTTTGAGAACCCGGGATTCGAGTACGATCAACGCCAGTACCAGGACTTCTCTCAGACTCTGGACCCCTACAAGCTTCGAGCTAGCCAGCTCCACCAAGGCCAAGGAGCCACACACACTTTCGATGAAGAAGAGGAAGAAGAGGAGCCGCAAGCTCGATCGAGTGAGCGAACCCAGTTGATGGAGTGCTCCTGATGGCCGTCTCCCATCTCCAGACCACGACCTAGCCTCCCAGTTCTTTGGGGGGCACTGAGGTATCCAAACACCAACCCTTGTATATACCATTTCATATTTTCTTGCATTTGTTTTGTTTTTTCTTGGTTTTGCCCTCTTGAATCTTTCACTAAATTTTTCTCACACAAGGGACTGTGTGATTTAAGTTTGGGGGAGGGTTCAAGAGATGATTTAACCTTGTTTTCTTTGTTCTTAGTTTTTCATTTATCTTTTGCATAGAAAAACCAAAAAAATCATAAAATTTTCAAAAAATCCAAAAATATTTTCATCTTTTTGCATTCATATTTGTTAGACTTGTTTAGGATTGCATCTTTCACTTGCATTGTTGATTTGACTTTGAAAACTTGTCATCTTTTGCGATTTCTTGAGTGCCCTGTTTTTAGATTCTTTTGTGCATTAGGGTGAGATTGATTGAGCAGCAAGAACCATGTTTATCTTGATCATATCACTGCATGCACATCTCATTCAACCATTGCTGTGATTTGATGCATTTCCCTATCTATTTGAACCATAACTTGATCTTTAATTACCAATGCTTGCATTTGATTTCAACTCATGGCTACCACATACATATCTGGACATTCTTTACCATTTTCATATCCCTTTGCTTGTCCAGATAGCTGATCTCTATCTTTGAGACAGTTACCACACCTTAAACCTAAGCCTTTTCATTTCAAACCCCATATTATCTCTTGTGCGAATGTGAGAACCTTTCTTGGCTTTGCTTAGCATAAGGTGTTGTGTTTAAACCGGCAGGGGCAGTAGTTCTAGTTGTCTAGTTCTCTTGGGATTGTTTTCAGGCTAAGTTTGGGGGTGCCAACTCGAGCTCGATCGAGTTGGGTGTAAAAACCAGAAAAGTGGTAAAATTGGGAAAATCCAAAGGAAAAAGAGTTTAGTTAAGTCCAGGGAGTTGGCAGTGTTAAAAAGGGTCTAGTAAAGGTTTGGGAAGTTAAAAAAGGAAGTAAAAAGGGTTCTAAGTAGAATGAAAAGAAGGCAAAGCCTCAAGTGTCAAAAAGAAGAAAAGTTCCCTAAGTGTTTAGAAAATCCCAAACCGCTAGATGTTACCTCAAGAAGCCTCTCCCTAGGAAGTTCTTAAAAGAAAAGTGAGCAAAGCTCCTCAGTTTCAAAGGCGAAATGCCAAAAAGGGTAGTTAGGATTTTGTTCTAAAAAGCTCTAAGTGTTGAACTCGATCGAGTTAGGATTAGGACGGCTCGAGCTGCTGTTCTTGCATCATCTTTGGTTCTAACACTTAGCCTTCTGCCAAAGCAAAGCCACTTTCTTGAGAGATCCCTGTTACTAAACCACCATACAAAAGGGTATGAGGATTGCTCATTCCTACAAGGGCAAGCCAAAGGTTCACTGGAAATGAACCACAAGTTGGTTGAGATAAACTCCAAACTTGAGTCATTGACTTCAAGAGTCCAAATCATTGAGTCTTCTAGTGCATCATCCTCTTCACTCAAGAGTATGCCCAAGCAGTTACACTGAGAAGTGGCGCAATTTCCAAGCAGGAGTAGCCCACCCCAAATCGCTGTGGACATCGATGACGAGGAAGGGGAGGATTTGGTCGAGTATGCTGACATTCCGCACCGAACTCGATCGAGCTGGAACAAAACCCTGAACCAGAACTCGATCGAGCTGAAGAAACCGAGACTCAGCAAGACAAACCAGAGCTCGATCGAGCAAGAGAACAGACAAAGCAAGCTCCAGCCAACCAACTAAACCTGTTGCAAAGAAGAAAGACACTCCATCAGGACCACCACCATACAAACCCCTCTGCCCTTTCCAGGAAGGTTCAAGAAACAACTGTTGGAAGCACACAAGGCCAAGTTTGATGAACTAATGAGACAACTTGAGCTGAAGTTGCCTTTCATCGATGCCTTGATGCTCATTCCACCTATATCAAAATTCTGAAGGATGCTGTTCAGCAAAGAACCAGGGAAGCACAAGGAATGGTAGTGTTGACTCGTGAGTGCAGTGCAATCATTCAGCGGAAGGTCATCTCCGACAAAAAGGAAGATCCGGGGAGTTTCACTTTGCCTGCATGTTGGGACCTCTATCTTTCAAAAACAGCCTCTGCGACCTAGGATCATCTGTCAGCCTCATGCCTTTGTCTGTAGCAAAGAGACTGGGATATCACAAGTACCAAGCCTGCGGAATCTCACTAGTCTTGGCAGATAGATCGATAAGGTTACCAACTGGAATGCTTGAAGACCTGCCTTTGAGATAGGGAATGTAGAAATCCCCACCGACTTCATTGTGCTTGAAATGGATGAGGAACCAACAGATCCATTGATACTAGGAAGGCCATTCCTAGCTACAGCAAGAGCAATGATAGATGTCTGTGAAGGAACAATTGAGCTAAACTTGGGAAAGGACCTAAGATGAAGTTTGACATCAAGGATACAATGAGGAACCAACAATAGAAGGTCAGCTCTTTTATGTTGAGGAAATGGATCAGTTGGCAGATGAGCTTTTAGAAGAGCTATCATTGGAGGATCCCTACAAGTTGCTTTGACCAAGGATTCTTCAGAGGGATATGTGAGCTCAGAAACCGAGGAGTACAAGAAGCTCCTTGACACCTTCAGACCAGTTCCAAACATTCTGAGCATTGGGTTGGACAGGCCAGTTTGCGAAGTCATGGCAGTGAGCTCGATCAAGAGATCGGAGCCTCGAACAAAAAACTCGATCGAGCTGGGACTGAATGCAAGAGCAAGCTCAAGGAGATTGGTCTGAGCTAAGGCGCCTAAAGTCGACCTCAAACCTTTGCCTGAGGGCCTCAGGTATGCATTTCTGGGTGAAAACTCAACTTACCCTGTCATTGTGAACTCTGATTTGGAACCTGAACAGTTGAGTGCTTTGCTTGTTGAATTGAGGAAGTACAGAAAAGCAATAGGTTACACTCTAGATGATATCAAGGGATCTCCCCTGACCTATGCATCCATAGGATTCATCTAGAGGATGAAAGTAAGTCAAGCATTGAACCTCAAAGGAGATTGAACCCCAATCTAAAGGAAGTAGTGAAGAAAGAGATACTCAAGTTGCTTGATGCTGGGATAATCTATCCCATCAGTGATAGCACTTGGATATCTCCAGTTCATTGCGTCCCAAAGAAAGGGGGGATCACTGTCATAAAAATGACAAAGAGGAGCTGATTCCCACTAGAACAATAGTGGGGCATCGCATGTGTATTGACTATAGGAAGTTAAATTCAGCATCTAGAAAGGATCATTTCCCTCTCCCTTTCATTGATCAGATGTTAGAAAGATTGCAAACCACCCTTTTATTGTTTTCTTGATGGCTACAGTGGTTTCTTCCAAATCCCGATCCACCCTAATGATCAGGAGAAACCACTTTCACATGCCCTTATGGTACCTTTGCTTATCGAAGGATGCCATTTGGGCTGTGCAATGCCCCAGCTACTTTCCAGAGATGCATGACCTCCATTTTTTCAGATCTGATAGAGGAGATGGTAGAAGTCTTCATGGACGATTTCTCAGTCTATGGAGCATCCTTCTCCTCATGTTTGTCTAACTTGTGCAGGGTGTTGCAGAGGTGTGAGGAGACAAATCTAGTACTCAACTGGGAGAAGTGCCACTTCATGGTTCGAGAAGGGATTGTGCTTGGACACAAGATTTCCGAGAAAGGGATCGAGCTCGATCGAGCTAAGGTGGATGTCATGTTGCAGCTCCCTGTTCCCAAGACTGTGAAGGACATCAAGGAGTTTTCTGGGTCATGCAGGGTTCTACAGAAGATTCATCAAGGATTTCTCAAAGATAGCAAGACCCTTGACAAGGCTTCTGTGCAAGAGACAGATTTTGAGTTTGATGAAGAATGCCACAAGTCTTGGACCTTGCTGAAGGATGCTCTGGTATCTGCCCCAATAGTTCAAGCTCCAAACTGGGATCACCCATTTGAGATTATGTGTGATGCATCTGACTATGCAGTAGGAGCAGTGCTTGGCCAAAAGATAGACAAGAAACTCAATGTCATCTACTATGCAAGCAAGACTATGGATGATGCTCAGTGCAAGTATGCAACCACAGAGAAGGAGCTCCTTGCCATCGTCTTTGCCTTTGAGAAATTTCGAAGCTATATAGTTGGGTCCAAGGTGATTGTGCACACTGACCATGCTGCCCTTAGGCACATCTTTGCTAAGAAAGATACAAAGCCAAGACTTCTCAGATGGATCCTTTTGCTTCAAGAGTTTGACATAGAAGTTGTGGACAAAAAGGGAGTAGAGAATGGAGTTGCTGATCATCTCTCTAGGATGCGAGTTGAAGACATGAGTCCCCATCAATGATTCTATGCCTGAAGAACAGCTTATGGCAATCATGATCTTGAAAGAGAGTTTTGATGAGAAAGTCAGGCTGGAAGAAGTTAAGGCTCTGCGTGATGAGAATTTGCCATGGTATGCTGATATAGTGAACTTCATGGTGTCTGGAGAAGTCCCTAGTAGTTTGATGCTTACAAGAGGAAGAAGTTCTTCAAGGATGCTAGGCACTACTATTGGGATGAGCCTTACTTGTACAAGAGAGGACCAGATAGCATTTACAGGAGATGCATAGCTGAAGAGGATGTACAAGGAGTTCTTGAGCATTGCCATGGGTCTGCTTATGGAGGTCACTTTGCCACATTCAAAACCAACTAAGGTTTTGCAATCTGGTTTATGGTGGCCTACTTGTTCAAGGATGCAGCAAGTTACATCGCCAAGTGTGATCCATGCCAAAGGAAAGGAGGGATCACCAAGAGGGATGAAATGCCACTGAACCCAATTCTAGAAGTTGAGATCTTTGATGTATGGGGAATAGACTTCATGGGACCTTTCAAACCCTTCCTCAAACGGGCACAACTACATTTTGGTTGCTGTGGACTATGTGTCCAAATGGATTGAAGCCATCCCCTGCCCAGCCTGTGATGCTAAGGTTGTTATCAAACTGTTCAGAACCATCATCTTTCCAAGATATGGCATCCCAAGGGTTGTTATTTCGGATGGAGGTTCCCATTTCATCAACAAGGTGTTTGAGAAGTTGATGAAGAGTTATGGAGTCAAGCACAAGGTTGCTACGCCCTATCACCCTCAAACCAGTGGGCAAGTTGAAGTCTCCAACAGACAGATTAAGGCCATATTGGAGAAGACTGTGAGCTTCACTAGGAAGGATTGGGCAGCAAGGCTTGATGAGGCACTTGGGCTTATAGAACAGCTTACAAAACCCCCATTGGAAGGTCTCCTTTCAATTTGCTATATGGGAAAGGACTGCCACTTGCCTGTGGAGGTCGAATACAAGGCTTTATGGGCAGTAAAGATGCTGAACTTTGACATAAAGGCAGCACAAGAAAGGAGGGTAATGAACTTGTTTGAGTTGGAGGAAATCAGAATGAATGCCTATGAGAACTCCATGATCTACAAGATGAGAACCAAGGCAGCCCACGACAAACTGATTCGCCTAAAAGACTTCAAGGTTGGGGACAGTGTGCTCTTGTTTAACTCCAAATTGCGGTTGTTTCCCGGGAAGTTGAGGTCAAAGTGGTCGGGACCATTCAAGATAGATGAGTTCTACCCTACGGGTCACTCACTCTGCTCAACCAAGAGGGGAAGAATTCACAGTAAATGGGCATAGATGCAAGCCTACCTAGGAATGACCCCCACAGAGGAGATCATCACTCCTCTTCAAGATCCAACCCCTGCCTAAAAGGTTTAAGGTCAAGCTATGAGACCTAAAACAAGCTCACTTGGGAGGAATTCCCATGTCTATCTTGTACATATCGCTTTTATCTTTATCTCTGCGTTTTTCTTAGCTAAGTCTTGCAGGAACAAGTTTTTAGGAAGGAAAGACAACCAACTCGAGGCACAACTCGATCGACCCAAGCGCAAGCTCGATCGAGCGAGGTGAACCCAGTCGAGTGGAGCGTCCCTGACGGCCGTCTACCCTCTCCAGACCACGACTTTGCCTCCCAGTTCTTTGGGGGGCACTGAGGTATCAAACACAACCCCTTGTAATACCATTTCATATTTTCTTTGCTTTGTTTTTATTTTTCTTGGTTTTGCCCTCTTGAATCTTTCACTAAATTTCTCTCACACAAGGGACTGTGTGATTTAAGTTTGGGGGAGGGTTCAAGAGATGATTTAACCTTGTTTTCTTTGTTCTTAGTTTTTCATTTATATTTTCATAGAAAAACCAAAAAATCATAAAATTTTCAAAAAATCCAAAAATATTTTCATCTTTTTGCATTCATATTTCTTAGTATTGTTTAGGATTGCATCTTTCATTTGCATTGTTGATTTCTTGACTTTGAAAAATCACCAATGCTTGGATTTGATTTCGACTCATGGCTACCACATACATATCTGGACATTCTTTACCTATTTTTATATCCCTCTTGCTTGTCCAGATAGCTGATCTCCACCTTTGAGACAGTTACCACACCTTAAACCTAAGCCTTTTTCATTTCAAACCCCATATTATCTCTTGTGCGATTGTGAGAACCTTTCTTGGCTTTGCTTAGCATAAGGTGTTGTGTTTAAACCGGCAGGGGCAGTAGTTCTAGTTGTCTAGTTCTCTTGGGATTGTTTTCAGGCTAAGTTTGGGGGTGCCAACTCGAGCTCGATCGAGTTGGGTGTCAAAAACCAGAAAAGTGGTAAAAGTTGGGAAAATCCAAAGGAAAAAGAGTTTAGTTAAGTCCAGGGAGTTGGCAGTGCTAAAAAGGGTCTAGTAAAGGTTTGGGAAGTTTAAAAAGGAAGTAAAAAAGGGTTCTAAGTAGAATGAAAAGAAGGCAAAGCCTCAAGTGTCAAAAAAAAAGAAAAGTTCCCTAAGTGTTTAGAAAATCCCAAACCGCTAGATGTTACCTCAAGAAGCCTCTCCCTAGGAAGTTCTTAAAAGAAAAGTGAGCAAAGCTCCTCAGTTTCAAAGGCGAAATGCCAAAAAGGGTAGTTAGGATTTTGTTCTAAAAAGCTCTAAGTGTTGAACTCGATCGAGTTAGGATTAGACGGCTCGAGCTGCTGTTCTTGCATCATCTTTGGTTCTAACACTTAGCCTTCTGCCAAAGCAAAGCCACTTTCTTGAGAGATCCCTGTTAACTAAACCACCATACAAAAGAGACCCTCTTTGTCTCTTAACCCATAAACCCTTGAAACCAAATGAGTTGATTGATCTTGCATGTTTTTGGTTCACTATTTTTGCTTAATAAATGTTAAAGGGATTTGCTGATTTGAATGCATTGTTTGAGTGACTGTGAAGTGGGATTGATGTTGATAAGCATGGTTAAATCTTAAATGAATATCTCTCACCTTGTTGCATTCTAGAATCTCTAAGTTGGACATTTAGCAAATCGCTTTTGAGGACATGTTTTTAAGTGTTGAATCAACTTGTTTTCAAACCTCATCTCTTCTTGTTCTATTTGTTTGCTTGAGGGCAAGCAAAGGTCAAGTTTGGGGGTGTTGATGTACTTGCATTTTGCATAGTTTTAGTACATCTTTTATGCATCTTTTGCATAGTTTTAGCATCCATTAGCATCATATCTTGTTCCTTTTCTCTTCTTATGCATTCATAGTAGTTTTAGGTTGCATTTGCATACATATGCATGTTTGGTCCTTTGAAATAGGTCTTTTGGAGCATTCTGGAGCATATGGGACGTGAGGAGCATGGAAGGATTTGGTGAGCAATAGTTTACGGCCAACGAAAGTTGAGTTGTGGAGTATTGTGAACAATTAAATCTTGAACATCTTTAATGCATGTTTACAACTTTTAATAACCAACGAAAGCTGAGTCTATTAGGTTGTTTAAACATAGTAGTTGGAGCCACGAAAGTGGAAAACTATATCTTAGTGATTTAAGTTCAAGAACGGTCTATAATGAATCTCTTTCACTTGATTTCTTTGTTTAAGTTTGTTGCATCTCGGCGATCCACCATTGTCTAGTGTTTCCCCTTATTGATCTCATCCATTTTTATTCATTATTGCCAAAACTCTCAAACCATATTTTGCTTTAGCTTGCTTCAACTCTTACTCTTGTAGCACAATCGATAGGTCCTTGTGGATTCGATCCCATACTATACTTACCTCGTTGCTGTGCACTTGCAGGTACTTAAGTTGGGTAAAACTTGAAGACAAACCCAGCTTGCATCAAGTTTTTGGCGCCGTTGCCGGGGACCTTCTTGTCTACAAGATCGGACGAGAATCTAGACTAAAGCGCATTTTACACTTTTATTTTTTTTTGTTCTTGTAGGCACAACTTGAGCGTGCCATGGCTGGAGAAATACGTGACCAGCAACCAAATCCTTGGAGGAACCATCTTGATGAGCCGCCTTTGGACGAGGTCCAAGACCGCATACCACGAGAAGGCCTTGGACCGGAGCTTAACCGAGCCGATAGGCTACACCGAGGAGACTTAGGCGATCACCAAGGAGGGGAGAACCAAGAGACCGTTGGAGACAGTGACTCTAGACCAGAGCTTCTCCAAAGCCGTAGCCCTATCCGGACTTACGAGGGCCACCAGTTTGAGATCAAGCCGCGAGTCATTGCTTTGGTAAAACAAAGTCAATACCACGGGCTTATCGAAGAAGATCCGTTGGATCATGTCGATTCTTTTGAAGAATTGTGCAGCACAACTAGTGCAAATGGAGTTCCGGGCGACTACTTGAGATGCCGGCTCTTTACTTTTACCTTGGCGGGAAAAGCACTCAAGTGGCTCAAGTCTCTCCCGTCTCGCTCAATCACTACATGGATGGAGTTCAAGAAAGCTTTTCTTGGTCAGTTTTATACAAAGCAGCGGACTAGTTTGATGAGGAGCAAGATCGTTGGCTTTCAGCAAGGGCCAATAGAGCCGTATCATGAGGGATTGGAGCGCTTCAAGGAATACATAAGAGATTGCCCACAACATGGCTTCTCGGAAGTAAACTTGTGGAACACGTTTTATGAGGGAATAAGGCGCGAGCACAAGCTGTATCTTGATATAGCTAGCAACGGGAACTTCATGAGTAAGTCCATAGAGGAAGCCAAAACATTGATTGATAACTTAGCGGTCAGTGACAGCAAGAATCAACCGAGCTATGAAGAAACGATCAAGGCAATCAACGCGAGACCGGGACTAGTTGAGTTTGAGGAGCTGAAGTCCATGATCGCTAAGCTTTTGGAAGAGAACCGGAGCATCGCAAAGCCCCCATGAGAACAAGTACGGCGCAACATCGATGAGAGAGAAGTGCTTTACATAAGCAAGCAAGAGATACAACACCCGGCTGAAACCCAAGGCGCTAAGGACCATGGAGGAGAGCTTAAGGCTTTGATCTATGAGTTCATTGGTGAACAGAGAAAAGGCGAACAAGGAGATCAATGAGAAGATACACTATGTGTATCATGACTTAAACAATAAATTTGGTCGCTAGAGTCGCACATCAAGGAGCTTGATCTTCAAATAGCAAACATAGCCGGTACAATCAAGAAACCGCTTGGAGTCCTCCCTGGTCGAACTGAGGCTAACCCCAAGAAGGAACATATAGCGGCCATCACTCTTAGGAGCGGTACGCAGTTAGACGAAGTGGAGATGCCACCGGAGCTCGTAAGGAAAGAACCCCAACCGGAGGTAATATGGAAACTGTGGAAGAAGCGGACTGGCGAGCAAACAAAGACAATCTTGAGGAGAGCGCCAGCGCCAACAACACCTACTCTGCGCGTATAAAGCCAAAAGTGCCCTACCCCGGATCAGTGAAGAAGCCCAAGAAAGAGAAAGAGCAAGCAAAGTTGAAGGACCTTGTGAGCCAACTAAGCGTAAGGCTCCCTTTTGTCGATGCTTGCATGATTATTCCATCATTGAGGAAGTATATGAAGAGCATACTCACTAGCAACTTGAGTCTAGAAGAGGGAGTGATGTTGATAACAGAAGATTGTAGCCTAGCCCTCAAAACAAAACCCCGGAGAAGCTTGAACCCGGGGAGCTTTGTTCTCTCATGCCAAATCGGATCTTTAAACGCTGCCTTTGTGAAGGGTCTAGCGTGAATCTTATGCCCTATACAGTGGCCAAGCGCCTTGGCATAACAAGCTTTAGACCCACAAAGATTCAGTTGGTCTTTGCTGATCGATCGGTGAGGCGGCCCATTGGCATCGTGAGCGATGTACAAGTCATGATTGGTAAATGTTTCATACCGGCTGACTTTGTGGTGCTGGAACTAGACCAAGAACCAAGAGATCCCCTGATCTTAGGGCGACCTTTCTTAGCCACAGCCGGAGCTATTATTGATGTAAAGGGAGGAAAGATAGACCTACACTTAGGAGACTTGGTGATGAAGTTTCAAATTGACAAAACTTTGGAAAAGCCAACCATCGACGGATTCTCTTTCTTGGTGGACAATTTAAGTGAGGTGTCTGAAGGAGTGTATGAGGAGCTGATAATGGACGACCCCTTAGAAGTGGCACTAACCCGTGTGGAGAAAGAAGGAGGCTATTTTAGTAGAGAAGCGCGAGACATAGCCAATCACTCGATAACGCGGAGACGTACAAGAACTAGTAGCTTATGTTGGTCTTGGAGGAAGAAGTAATAGCGCAAACGCCTCAAGGGATGCATGAAGCCAATCAAAGGAGCCATGGAGTGAGTTGAGCGCTCCAAAAGTCGAGCTCAAGGAGCTCCCCGTAGGGCTAAGGTACGCATTTCTCGGTCCCAACAATACATACCCGGTGATAATCAATTCAAATCTATCAAATGTAGAGACCGCGCTATTACTTTGTGAACTAAGAAAACACCGCAAAGCCCTTGGGTACACCCTTGAGGATATAACCGGTATTTCCCCAGAACTTTGTATGCACAGGATACATCTCGAGGATGAGTCTAAGTCCTCCATAGAGCATCAAAGGAGACTAAATCCAAACCTGAAAGATGTGGTGAAGAAGGAGATAATGAAACTCTTGGAAGCTGGAGTGATATACCCTATCTCGGACAGTACATGGGTGAGCCCGGTCCACGTAGTTCCAAAGAAAGGAGGAGTGACGGTCATAAGGAACGAGAATGAAGAGCTCATACCCACCAGAACGATCAAAGAGGCTCTCATTAGCGCGCCGATCGTACAATCACCGGATTGGGAGCTTCCTTTTGAGATTATGTGCGACGCAAGCGACTACGCCGTTGGAGCTGTGCTAGGCCAAAGGAAAGAGAAGAAACTCCACGTCATATACTATGCAAGCCGGACCCTCGACGAGGCACAATGCAACTATGCCACCACGGAGAAGGAGTTATTGGCGATTGTCTTCGCATTCGAGAAGTTTCGCTCTTATCTTGTTGGCTCGAAAGTCATAGTGCATACCGACCACGCGGCGCTCAATTATCTGCTGTCAAAGAAAGATGCAAAGCCAAGACTTATACGCTGGATACTTCTTTTGCAAGAATTTGACCTAAAGATCATTGATAGGAAAGGCGCGGAGAATGGCGTGGCCGACCATCTTTCAAGAATGAGAATTGAAGAGAGCATACCTATAGATGACTCGTTACCAGAGGAAACGGTCTATGCAGTCAGTGCAGTGCCTATATCGAGGGAGGAGACCACACCAAGAGCCACCACGGAGAGGAGAATTGCTTTTGGCGCACCTTGGTATCGTCATATAGCCAACTATCTCACGGCCGACATAGAACCTCCGCACTTCTATGGATACAAGAAGAAGAAATTTTTGAAAGACATCAGATTTTACTTCTGGGACGAACCGTACCTCTACAAGAAATGCCAAGATGGAATGTTTAGAAAATGCGTGCCAGAGGAGGAGATAGCCGGGATTCTGAACGGATGTCATGGATCGGCTTACGCAGGTCATTTTGCCACGTTCAAGACAGTCTCTAAGGTCTTGCAAGCAGGTTTTTGGTGGCCTACGATGTTTAAGGACGCTCAAGCATTCATTTCGCGCTGCGACGCTTGTCAAAGAATGGGGAATATAAGCAAGAGGAACGAGATGCCCCAAATCTTTATCTTGGAAGTTGAGGTGTTCGATGTTTGGGGAATTGACTTCATGGGCCCTTTCCCACATCTTTTGGAGACCAATACATTCTAGTGACAGTGGACTATGTCTCCAAGTGGGTCGAGGCAATAGCAGCTCCAACGAACGACTCAAGCGTGGTGATAAAAATGTTCAAATCAAGTGTTAAAAAAGTGAAGAAAAGTTCCCTAAGTTTTAGAAAAATCCCAAACCGCTAGATGTTACCTTAAAAAGCCTCTCCCTAGGAAGTTCTTAAAAGAAAAGTGAGCAAAGCTCCTCAGTTTCAAAGGCGAAATGCCAAAAAGGGTAGTTAGGATGTTGTTCTAAAAAGGCTCTAAGTGTTGAACTCGATCGAGTTAGGATTGACACCCAACTCGATCGAGCTCGAGTTGGCACCCCCAAACTTAGCCTGAAAACAATCCCAAGAGAACTAGACAACTAGAACTACTGCCCCTGCCGGTTTAAACACAACACCTTATGCTAAGCAAAGCCAAGAAAGGTTCTCACATTCGCACAAGAGATAATAATGGGGTTTGAAATGAAAAGGCTTAGGTTTATGGTGTGGTAACTGTCTCAAAGGATAGAGATCAGCTATCTGGACAAGCAAAGGGATATGAAAGTGAATAAGAATGTCCAGATATGTATGTGGTAGCCATGAGTTGAAATCAAATGCAAGCATTGGTAATTAAAGATCAAGTTATGGTTCAAATAGATAGGGAAATGCATCAAATCACAGCAATGGTTGAATGAGATGTGCATGCAGCGATATGATCAAGATAAACATGGTTCTTGTTGCTCAATCAATCTCACCCTAATGCACAAAAGAATCTAAAAACAGGGCACTCAAGAAATCGCAAAAGATGGACAAGTTTTCAAAGTCAAATCAACAATGCAAGTGAAAAATGCAATCCTAAACAAGTCTACAAATATGAATGCAAAAAGATGAAAATATTTTTGGATTTTTTGAAAATTTTATGATTTTTTTGGTTTTTCTATGCAAAAGATAAATGAAAAACTAAGAACAAAGAAAACAAGGTTAAATCATCTCTTGAACCCTCCCCCAAACTTAAATCACACAGTCCCTTGTGTGAGAAAAATTCAGTGAAAGATTCAAGAGGGCAAAACCAAGAAAAAACAAGAACAAAATGCAAGAAAATATGAAATGGTATATACAAGGGTTGGTGTTTGGATACCTCAGTGCCCCCCAAAGAACTGGGAGGCTAGGTCGTGGTCTGGAGATGGTAGACGGCCATCAGGAGCGCTCCACTCAACTGGGTTCGGCTCACTCGATCGAGCTTGTGGCTCCTCTCCTCTTCTTCTTCATCTTCAAAGTGGGTGTGGCTTCCTTGGCCTTGGTGGAGTTGTGCTCGCTCGAAGCGGTTGTAGGGAGTCCAGAGAGTCTGAGAGAAGTCCTGGTACTGGGTTGAATCGTGTTCGAATCCAGGATCTCAAACAGGGGCTCTTCCAGGTCAACTCGACCCTCAGCTCGATCGAGTTGAGTTTCCTCTGTTTGGACTCGATCGAGTCCGGTGGTCGAGCTGGAGCGTCTGGCCTTGGACGTCTTCCTCCTTCTCTGCGTGTTGTCCTCTCCTTCTCTGGCTCGAAAGAAGAGGCTCTGTGAGGCTCTTGTGTGGAGAGCCTTCTTTGGGTGGTGAGGAGTGACCTACTCCTAGGGAAAGTGGGAGCCTTGGACTTCTTCTTGCTTGAGAACCAGAAACTTTCTTCTCCAAGCTCTTGATCTTGCTCACCATCTTGTCCATGGACTTTTGCATCTTCTCCATGGCTTTCCCTTGCCACTTGTTGAACCTTTGGAGAAGACCAATCCTCTTGTGGGCAGCCACAACAGAGGGGTTCATCCTGGAGCCTCATACTCCTCAAAGTAGTAGCACTCAGGCTCACCAATCAGCACTCTGGACCTGATATTCAGCTCGATCCTCAGCTCGACCCTCAGCTCGACTCAGCTCGATCGAGCTCAGGCTCCTCTTCTCGCAAATCTCCTCATGCCCAACTAATGTGTACACAGGGGGTCTGAAGTCAATGTTCTCACCCCTACAACTGTGGTGAGCTCAGGGTTGGGCAGGAGAAGCTTGGAGGGTCCAGCCAATGGATGTGTGAACTTGAATTGGAACCTCCCATCTAACTCCTTGTGCTCAATGAGAGGTTGGTCTTGCAAAACTTGATGTCCATCCAACCTGGTTCAGTAGCTCTCTTGTCCAGTTGGGTTTACTCCAGCTGCACACAAGATAGGTGTGATGACCCTCCAACACTAAGCTTCTTCCCTTTGTGCTAGTGTTGTAAGGCGGTGTCTTGTAGGTGAGGAGGCTGGTCAAGGAAGGCATGAGTTCCCTGTGTCAGATTCTATCTCCCCTTGATCCTCTTGCCATCCTTGTGCGTGAGATGATGGGCTTGATTCCCATGTCAAGGACTTCAGTTCCCCCTCGTTGATTGTCCCAGTGCCTTCCTTGCAAAGAAGGTGTTGGCAAGTGCCTTGTGCACATATCTCAAGACTGGGCTCCTGATCTGAGCTGCCTTAGACCTTGAGGAAGAGTACACTCCATCAGCGATTGTAGCCCAAACCCTTTGGAGTTCCTTTTCCTTGAGTTCCATGGTTCCCTCTCCATAGTGAACCCAAACAAGATCTCCAACTGCCTAAAGGTCACCATTCTCTTCTCTCCCTTGCCAAGAACGTGATCCATCCCAATCCTTGGTCCAATCAGCTCGATCTTCTCCTCATACATGTGGTACCTCATTGAAGCCAAGAACTCACAAGTGAGCTCCTTGTAGGATTCCATGCGGTAAGAGAAGAACTTGGCCAGGTGCATGTTCTTGAGGACCACTCCACATCTCAAAGATCCAAGGGCCTTCATTGTGTCATCATGTGGGTACTTGGTCTCCACAAAGTCCATGGAGAAGAGAGCATCATAGTGCTCTTGGTACATGGGGAGCTCATCCTCTTCTTCACTTGACTCCTCCTCTTCCATGGGCACATTCTCATTGCCCTCATGCTCACTCTCCTCAATCTCTTGATTGATCTCTTCACCCTCTTCTTCACTTGGGGAGTCATCATTCTCCTCATGTGGGATGTTCACCCCAATTTCAAACTCTCCTGCTTCGCTCTCACTGCTGAGAGGATCATTCCTTCTTTTGGTTCTCCTTTCCTCCCTCACCCTCTCAACCTCTTCTATGTCCTCCTTGGTTTGTGTTTTGAGTATCCTCCTTGCTCCTCTTATCATCTCCTCCTTGTGAACGCTAGCTTGCTTCCTTCACCTCTCAACATCTTAGATTGGTCCCTGAAATGCATCAAAAGTTCAATAGAATTAGAGTTGTAATGATCGGTTTGGTCAACTCGACACTCAGCTCGATCGAGTCAAAAAACTCGAGTGACAAACTCGATCGAGTTGGGTGAAAGCAGAGTATAACCAAACCTAATTCATGTATTAAGAGCAGGAAAGGATGCTAATCAATCAAATTGAACCAAGAACAACTAGTAAATGGAACAATAAGCAATTCTAGTGAAAAACATAGCAACCTAACCATTACCAAACTCAAATTCAACCTTTCAAGCACATGCAACAAGTTTAAAGGCAAAACAGAGGTGAGGTGAGCAAACTAACAAGTTATACAAGGCAGAGCGAAAATGAAAGCAAATTCTCAATAACAAGTCCACAAGGGACACATGCAATCAAAAATAAGAGGAAACAAGCAAAAGGAATCGAGATGAGATCAAGGGTTTAGGGTTCATACCTTGCTTGATGATGGAATTGAAGAGCAGTAAACTAAGAACTAAGCAAAACAAGAGAGAACAAATGAAATCGCAAAAACTCAAGAGAGAGATTGAAAACTCGATTTTTCTTGTGGTGAAGAGAGAGATGGATGATTTCAGAAATTTAAGATTGTGGGAGAGAGAGAAGGTGGATTCGATCGAGTTATGGGGAAGAGAGTTGTTTGAGATGTGTGGTTGAGATTAAAAGATGAATAAAGAGGGAACAAGAAACTAGGGATTCTCTGATCGAATTAGGGTAGTGGGGGACCAAAATCAGCTTGTGGGACCCACTCCCTTGACCAAAAAACGGTTATGAATTTGAAATTCAAAAACTTACCTTGGTCGAGTTGAGTAGCTCGATCGAGTTGCCCTGGTTTCTAGCTCGATCGAGCTGTCGGTCGAGCTGGCTCCTTGACACCTAAACTTAACTTATTGAAAGGTTAAAAACATAAAGATAGATAGAAATTGCATAAATAGAGTATGTACAAGGATAAACATGGGACTTCCTCCCAAGTGAGCTTGTTTAAGGTCCCATAGCTTGACCTTTACCTTCTTAGGCATTGGTTGAGCTAGTCCCACCATCAAGGGTGATAGTGAGGACTTGAGACAGAAGCTCCTTTAGCTTGGTTGGGTCCCTGGACTGTTCTGAAGTCACTATGGCCTTGGCTCTAGAGAATGGCCTTGATCTCCCCTTGTACCTTATCTTGTACTCAATCTTCCCATTTTCAAACTTGGTGGGGAACAAGTCATTGTGAGCTGAGATGGCTTGACTGAAGGGGCCTGAGCTGGTGGATCCTTTCTTTTATCTCCTGGTCTTGCCTTAGAGGCTGCATCCTCCCCTTCTTGTAGAGCCCTTCCTAGTGGCTCATCAAACAAAGCTTGAAGGCTCTCTTCATCAAGCACACAAGGGGCTTGAACAAGTCGCTCAGCTCTTGGCCTATCAGATCGTGGTTTCTCAACTCTAGCCCTCTCAAGACGTGGCTTCTCAATCCTTGGTCCTCTCTCATCCTTATCCTTCCCAACTCTTGGTTCCTTGTCAACCCTTTCCTTCACAACCTTTGTAGCTCCATGACTCTTAGAACTGAGATTGGTACTGTCAATTGTGGCACAAAAGTGTGAACCTCTAGGCTGCAAGCGATATGACACCAAACTATTCACCTTGTGAAGGATCACTTCTTGCTTGTGAAAGTCAATTGAAGCGCCAACTGTACTAAGGAAAGGGGTTCCCAATAAAAGGCAAATCCTTCTCTTCTTCCATTTCCATCACAGTGAGATCAGTTTGGATGATGCATTCTCCAATTTTCAAGTGATAGTTCTTGAACACTCCAAGAGGAGACTTAGTAGTTGCATCTCCAAAGATGATTGAAGTAGTAGGGCGCTGCAAGGCTCCAGCTATGCCTAGCTTCTCTGCCATGGAGAGAGAGATCAGATTGATGCTTGCTCCAGAATCCACTAAGGCATTGTCAATCTCAAGATGCCCAAGTGTGCAAGGGAGAGTGAATTTCCCTTGATCCTTGACCTTTGGTAGGAAGGTGGGTGAAGTAAGCAGGTTGAACTGATGAGTAGACTCTTGTAGGACCTCTGAAACTTTATCACTGTTGGCCAGAACATCCTTGACCATTTGCATTTGATCAAATGCCTCACTCATGCTATCCATAGAGGCAACTCAATTCCAATCCCACTGAGATCTCTTCTGAACTTGTGAATCACTTCCTTGTGACCTTGACTAAGTAGGCGAGACGAGGAAGCGGCAACTGGTTGATAAGGATCAAGCAAAACAGGCTGTCGGACAGAAGAGGTCGGACTCGATCGAGCTAGAGTTGGACTCGATCGAGCTGCCGATCGAGCTTGTCGTGCGAGCTCAACTGGTGAAGTGTGAATGGCCACAGTAGGTGCATGCACTTCTGGTTGATCAATCTGGACTCCAGGAGCCTCAGCAGCAACAATCTCTTCATCATTCAGCAGTAAACAAAAATCTTCAATGACCCTTTCTTGATCCTCTTCTTCAACAAGTCCTTCTTGAGTGAAGATGACCTTGCACTGTTCCTTGGGGTTCTGAATAGCTTTACCAGGTAGTTGTCCTTGCTTTGTAGCAGCAGCAACAGAAGAAGCATGATTCTCCAGAGAGTAAACCCTTGTGTTGAGGTTCTCGATCTTAGAGTTTATTTCAGCTAGCTTCTTGCTTGTGTCCACTACCCCATCAGCTTGCCCTTGAAGTAGTTGCTTTAGCATTGCCTTGAGCTCATTCTCTTGTGAAGGTGCAGGCTGGGGTGGTTGGTGGGGAAAGCCTGGTGGGATATTCATTTGTTGTCCAGGGAAAGTGCCTTGTGGTCCTTGGTAATTGTTCTTTTGACCATACCCTTGTTGTGTCCTTGACTCGATCGAGCTGCTTGTTGTTGAGGATAGACTTGGTCCTGAGGGTTAGCAACATCAGTGTTGCGGTATGACATGGCAGGGTTGGACTTGTAGTTATAGTATCCTTTGTTGTAACCTCCTTGCCCATTGCTCATGTAGCATACCTCAGCAAATTGTGTATCCTCCCCTTCTTGGACTGGTTCCATCTCCTCAGCAGACACAAAGTTGACTTTCTTCATTGTGGACTGAGCTAGGATCAGCTTATCCAACTTCTCATTCAATGCCTTAACATCTTTTCTCAACTTTTCGTCTGACTCGATCGAGTGGTGGGTCGAGCTCCGGTTGGTGCGATCATACTCTTCTCCATAGCTTCCATTTGAGTTAGCTATGTTCTCCACAAGTTGCCAGCCATCATCTACATCCTGGTTGAGGAAGTTCCCATTGCTAGCTGTGTCTAGCATCTCCCTATACCTAGGCAAGCATCCTCTATAAAGAGTGGAGAGTAGTGATTCATTGTTGAATCCATGGTGTGGGCACTGACTTGTGTAGCCTTTGAACCTCTCCCAAGCCTCTGCGAATGTCTCATTGTTCGCTGGATGAAGCTGGATATCTCTCCTCTAAGCTTGGCTGTGCGACCGGTGGAGAAAAATTTAGCAAGAAAGGCCTTCTTGCATTCATCCCAAGTGGTGATTGTGCCATGGGGCAAGCTCTTCTCCCATTGGTGAGCTTTGTCAGCTAGAGACATAGGAAAGAGTCTCAGCTTGATGGCATCTTCAGAGACACCATTGATCTTTGTCAAATCACAAAGCCTATCAAACTCATCAAGGTGGTCAATGGGGTCTTCACTTGGCAATCCATGGAACATCTTGTTCTGGACAAGGTTGATCATTCCCAGCTTGATCTCAAAGTTGTGGTTCTGCACTGGTGGTGGAACAATCCCTTGTCTCTGTTGGTGGCGGTTTGGAGCATCTCCTTGACCAATCGGTCGAGTTTGCCTAGCTCGACCGAGTCCATGCCCAAAGGGTTTCCATTCCCCTCTGGTACATCCATTGTATCAGCAACAAGCACCTCAGGTTCCTCTTGTACCCTCTGTGACCTCTGAACCCTCTTTCTACCCGTTGTAAGTCTAGCTCGACCAAGTCTTCTTAGACCGACTCGATCGAGTTCGCATACACCTGCAAAAAGAGACAAAAACCCAGCAGTACAATAGAACAGGGGTGGTATAGCTTGATCGTCCAAGTATGTTTGAAACTCAAATGCAACAAAAATATTCCCAAATCGGCAACGGCGCCAAATTGATGATAGGATTTGTGTGTGTGTGAAAAGATATGAAATGAGATGGTGGAATGCAATCAGTGGTAAATGAAGGTGGTAAGATGCAAACACAAACACATCAACAATTCCTCTTAACCATCATAGTCATTGAAGTATAAGAGGTTATCAATCCAAAATGGGAAACTTGTCACTCTATGAGAATATGAAACAACCAGAAAGTCAAGCAAGCAGTTATAGATTTAAGTAACACTAACAACCTAAAAATGAAAATGCAGTGCAATAAAAGTAAACAAAGCAGTAAACAAGTCAGCTCGACCAAGGACTCGAGTCGAGTGGACAGAGTACCAGCTCGATCGAGTTTAGGGTCGAGTTAGCAAAAGCAGTAAAGGTGACGACTTTAACAAGATAAAGAGAGAATTAGGGTTCAAGACAGGGTTTTGCAATCAAAGGAATCTACACTTAATCAATCTAGCTCTTAAAACTCCTTGTATCAAGGCTTCTCTTGATATTGGGCTTCTCAATGCCTAGCCAACCCTTTCCCAAGGTGGAGGCTATCAACCAAGGAATGATCTCAGAAACAGGGGGTTAGCCAGTGAGAATCAAACCTTGGAGGCATAGGATCATTGCCCAAACTAATCCATCCAACCCCTTAGACCTCTATTGTCTAGAGCAAGAGATATTGGAGCTCTTAGTGGATCTTTTCCAGCGAATGCCATCACTTCCGTGTGGGGAGTCGCCTAAGGACTTACAAGCCAGGGGTAGTGGTCATGTAGCCTTAAGATCTATCCAAAAGAGAGAGAATCTAGATTAAGACCATAAGCTAGAAGGATTAAGCATATGAAACCTCTAATCTATCCCATCTCAAACCCTAATGGGTAACTACTCACTACACATGAATGTAAACACAAGCAAATGCAATAAAAGAGACATCATAAGAAAGAGGAGATGAAATTAAACAACTTTTATTGAAATAAGCAAGTGCAAATACAAAGAAGATTAATCCAGGATCTAAGATTCAAGAAGCAAGAGCTTCAAGAACACAAAGATGGGATTAGTCTCTAAAAAGTAAAAGACAATAATAAATTAAAGAAAGCTAAAACAAAATAATCTAAAGCTTGGTGGTTTTTTCGTGGCTTAGAGCCTTTAAATACAAAGAGGATTAGGTTTAGGGTCAAAGGAAAGTCAAGGGGGAAGCAACATTTTTCGGGTTTGACTTTGACTTCCAGCTCGATCGAGTTGAAGCTTGGCCGGTCGAGTTGAGGAACTCGACCGGTTGGTCGAGT